CTTGATTATGTCAGAAGACATTTCAAAAAATATGGTTTTGGAGAGTAAAGATGGTGAACAGATCTGATGCAATGGGGTTCGTATACTGGGATTACGTGTATACAAAGTTGGTGACAAGTTGACCTGGTCTAGGGTGAATCGAGTTGACGTGATGCTGAAAAAGTTAAACAGAAGAGTAGTGTTTTCCGTTTGGTAGGTCATTTACCAGTATGTGGTTGGTTATGCGCAGTTTTGAATTTTCTTGTGCAGATGAAGAAAAGTCAAAATTTTTTTTTTCCTCTTTATAATGATATTTTTTTTACGTGATTATGCAGAGGAGTTGTGCGAAATTTCTTCTGATCAGATTTATTACATCACCTGATTATCTGCTTTCCACATGGGATGAATAATGCTGTGCTGAAATCACAGCTATCATTAGTTTTGAAAAGTTTCCAAATAAAACTCGTCGTTTTGAAGGTTTATCACAGTCATATTTTGTCAGTAGTACTTGCACTATAAATGTTTTATTCTTATTTTATTTAAATGGTTAAAGAAATAGTTACATTTTCTTTGAATAACTACGTAATGTTTTGCGGGATTTTGTGAAACGTAGTAATTATGCTGCATGTTTTAATTATTGAGCAATTAAAATGCAACAAATCTGTTGTATTTTAGTTTTTTATTGCAATTAAAACGCAACAGGTTGTGTTTTTGAGCCAATAGATGTTAATAAAATCTGTAATTTTTTATAGTCACATAAAGACTATTATATTTCTTTACCTTAATGGTTTTGCAGTGGTGAAAATTACAAACTAAAAAACTAAAGTAAACTATTTAACAAAAATTATGTTTCAACTGATTGCATGCTTCTTGTGGGTAATATTTGTGAAAAGCAGCCCAATATTAAAGTGGTAAATAATTTGGTGAAGATTAAGAAAATAATCTTTACAAAGAAGTTGTTTTAGGTTTTTAAGTTTATAAGGCTTCAAAAATATACTCTTACGTTAAAAGAAATTTTTGAGTGTATAACCTCATTGCGTTGATCTAAATTTAAAATAAGAGCTTTGTTACTAATAACCATTCTAACAATATTTTTATATTCTCTATAAAGCATATACTGGAGATAGAAAATTCACCATACAGTTTATAAAAGAGTATTAATTGTTTTAAAAAAAATCTATTAGTACAACTTGTGCAAAAAAAAGTTTTTCCTACTTTTTTATTTAATTTTTCCAGAGACTAGGTTAAAGTTACTGCTGGTTACATTCCAGGGAATTTATTTTATAAATTTTCTAAAAAAGATCAATTACTAAACAGGAACTAGAAAAGAAAAATCAATTATCAGGAACCTTATCTCGAAAAACAATTAAACAAGTTGTCAACCTTAAATTTGCAATATGTGATGAAACAACTGCAGCTGCAATGTTATAGGTTTATTATGAAAGTTTTTTTCCTAAAAAAAATAATGCAGCACAAGTTATTTATCACACTCAAGTCAAAGCATAAACTCAATACATCTAATCAACTCAGCAACGCTGCTGTCAAAGATGATAAGAAAGCTGAAAGATTTAAGAGATAACACTTTATTTATAAGTATACTTTATATAAATCGTATTGAAATTTGGGTAAAATATAAAGACTTTACATTAAGAAACATTATCTCTTACAAATGTTTTGCTTGAAGAAGACTATATATTTGTTCATACTTCTAGTTTACAAAGTGATCTTTTAGAGCAACGTTAAATATAGATAACTTAGCGGTGGTAGATTTTTTGTGAGTCTCTTGGATGTATGCAATAGTAGAAAGATTTTGTCAGAATTCCACTCTATAATACTTTCTGAAAATATTTTTTTGGTAAGAAAATATTCAATCAGGTACTCGATTATCTTCATTTTAAAATATTATGCATGATATTGTCTTGTTGTCTGAAGGTAGCATAAAGATTGTTGGCACTATAGCAGTTGCATTGGTAAAAAAACAAAAAAAGGATTGGATATTAAATTTATGATCAAAAAACAATATTGTTAATAATGAATATCTGAAACTTTTTCACGAAGGAGAACCTATATATTCAAATCAAGCTCTGTCTGATTTTATTTCTATAGTTTTAGGCAGTCTTAGCAACATTTAAGGTTACTTTTAGTAGCATGTTGATATATAGCTATATGAAGCCTTATATCGGTATTCTGCGTTATTGGAATAAACTGAATTTATATTATAACCATTTTAATAAAATCATTTATAGTGCTAACACAAATCATAACAAAGAACTATTAAAGTGTAAAAAAAGTGGCCTTTTTATTTTTTACGGAAAAAAGTAACAAATCAAGCCGTGTTATTTGATTAAGCTAAGATTTTAAATTTTAAATTGTGTTACTTAATGCCCACTCAATTAACAATAAATATCATCAATAGCTTGTTCACGATGATATTTGTTGTTATGAGCTTGTTCAATCTTCAATGCAAACCATTGACGTGAATATTCCTTTTTTATAGAAACTGATGCTCTGCTATTATTTAAAATGAGGTTAAATACAGCTGAACGAAAATCTTTTCAAAAGCAACTTAAAATATTTTTCATTAATAAAGCTAATTTTAAAAAAAAAAAAAGAAAATTGTAAATCATTTCGAAAAAGAAGAATTAACTCAAAGTAAAATATATGATAACTTGAAAAGACTTAAAACTGCTCAATCTTTTTTAGATAGAAAATACTATATTTTTGATAAAAAGGTTGTCTAAAATCCTGACCTGGAAAAAATACCAAATAAAGGAGAATTGCCAAAAACCGAAAAAGAGAAAATTAAGTCTAAAATTCTGTGAACATCAATTAAACCAAAAAAAAAAAACAGGAAATTTCTTAACCAGCTATATAATTGTTATATGAGCAAGTTGTAAATGTTACAGTTACATGACAATGGATTCTTTTTACTCAAATGGCCTGGGAATTCACGAGGAATGAATCCAATTGAGATTTTATGAGACATTTTGAAGGACAAAATACACAAAGTTCCAATTACTACAAAAGCACAGCTTATAAGAGGTTATTCCATGTCTGGTTCCATAGCGAAACAATCACCAAGTTATGCCGCGATTTAATCAACGGCATGCCCAAGAGAGTGAAATCATTGAAAGCTGCCAAAGGTGATCAAACCAAGTATTAAAAACATTTATATACCTGAAATGTAATCTGTAACTTTATTTTTATGTTATGATTGTTTTTAAAGTAAAAATATAATTATTATTTAAAAACTGAAAAATCCATAATAATTTTTCCAGTACTGTATATATATATATATATATATATATATATATATATATATATATATATATATATATATATATATATATATACATATATATATACACCATATTTTCATGCATTCCTGGTCAGTCTGCTTTAAATTAAAGAGATCATAGCGAGTACTGGGATTTAGATATGTACACGTACATATTGTGGTTACACGTACATACAGTGATTGCAAGTTATTTTTTATGATTGACAGAAAGCCTGATTTCATGACAACTGCACAACATACATAAACAGCACACAAGAGCAAAGTAGGAAAAATAAAACAAGCTGCAATTGCAACGTTTTAATGAAAAGAGGGATTCAACATAACCAATTCAATCCTCATTCTCCAACGAATTATTGAGTTAATGACCTGGGTTAGCTCTAGCAGTGTCTGATCGCCTATGAGGAAGCTCATCAAAGAACTGATGATTTGTAGGGCTGCAAAATCTTTTCAATATTTGAAGGTCTTTATACTATTAACGTTGTCAGCACCCTTTTTTGCCAATATTTCATCATATGTATACATATACCCTTCATCAGTTGACAATACATGAATTACAAAGGTATAAACGCTGAACTGCCTGCAATAGTAAACGTCATTGGTGGACTTGTTTTGTGCTGGTAGGTTTTTGGCAAAGTCAAAGCAGATGGCTTCAAACTTGTCACATTTTCTTGCCCTTTTCTTAGCTGCAGCTTTCCTGTCATAGAATGTACGAGCCTTGCGTTTATGCAGCTCGTGGTTTGTGAATAGTTCAGTTAATTTGCTATTCAGACCAGTGACATCTCTGCCCTTGCTCTTGGCATTGGCAATGTCACCATCCACATGCTGCAACTTCATGATAAATTCGTCATATGTGGAACAAGTGTCCTTCCATAGGAATCCAAATTCAAAGTTTAATTTCGAGTTAAACAGTGTCCTGTAGGATTCATAGCTAATCTGCGAAAAATAAAAAAAGTAAATGAAGAAAAAAAAATAATATCACATTATCAGGGCATAAAATTAGTCTAGGTCTAACGATTGCTTTTGTTCTAAAAAACGAATAGCTTAGTTGAAACGCTTTGTCTAATGCAGAGCGATTGAAACATGCGTGTGATAGATTGAATCAATTGAAAAAAAAGTCTCTTTAATGATTTTTACGTTGACATTGTGCCATGCTGTGTAAAACAAAATCAATGGGTATCAATGTATATCCACAAGTGTCGCTCACAGAGTTTTAAACGTTTTATAGATTCATTAGCTCTGAAAAAAAGGTGTTTGAAAAGAAAAAAAATTTGAGTTATTTGACCAGTGTTAAAAGATTTCAGATTGTCAACTTAGATTTATTTGTATAAATTATTACATTTATTGTGTCATTTAATAGTCTTTATATTATCTAATTGATTATATCTTATTTATTTGTAATTAATCTTTAAAATTAATGTTAAAAATAAAGAAATCAAATTAATTCAAGTCTTGGTGTATAGTGTGCTTTATATATACACAATGTACAAGAGTATTTAGAAAAGCTTACATTTTTTGGCTAGAAGCAAAATTTTGTAATAATATGCCCTGATAACATAAATAAATAAAATTAAAACAAAATAAAAAAAGTCAAATCCAACAGATGCTGTAATGGATTTGATATGTAAATTTAGCTGCAAGTAAAAATTAGAATTTGTGCATGCATATATAGCAGCTTCAAAATAACCTCTATTTGACTATCACTGACATAAAAACATACACAAACCTTAGTTACAGGGTGAACTGACACAAACATCTGTATGCGATGTATTTTAGCAATTCAAGGTATCTGAAAGGTACAACTCTCTTAACTCCCCCATTGCATAGTGACTGTGTTTGCATCGGAAAGATGATATGTGGCCACACACCAGTTACTGTTTTATCTGTCAATTTGTGTAGCTTGTTGTTATCCTTTCCTCTTCCATCTCGCGGTGCATGACCTGCAAGGAAAAAACCCACACAATCAATAATCCAATCAATATCAAATTAAACGCATTAATTCTAATTCCCACTCACCTGTTAATGACATTGCTTTGCGGACTGTTTCTGACTGTTTCACGGTTTTTTGTGATGCCAAAGAGTGAGTAAAAGGCTTTCACACACACTATGTTCCTGTGATGTACCTGTGGGTACTTTTACAACATACTTTACCCTCATCTCTTTAGGTTTGTAAGAATTTTCTTCTGCACCTTTTCTACACCTACATTGTTTAACAGGGAGAACTACTACCATTGTAGACAGATAAGAATCTTGGCTGTCTTTGCTTTAGTATGTGTTGTAGCCCTCAATGAGTGATTGTCTTGCAGCTTCATCTATTTGTTAAAAACGTTTTAGAGGAATACATTTGCAGTCCTCACCTGATGCTGATTTTTTATGCGTTTAATCTTTGCCGCATCATTTTTCCTTTTATTAATTTTTTGCTTTCGAGGCGTTACAGTCACAACTGGCCTGCCAAAGCAATCCACCGTTTTCCATGCACTTCGTTATTATGCCAAAGCTAAACACTGATTACCTGACCTAGTAATGTGAATTAACACCACATGACCCACCAGGGACATGTCTAATTTTTCCCCTGTAGATTTTGGACTTGCCTAATTTTTCCTTAGATGTCTAGATTTTTAAATGCTAAATACTCAAGACTTAGTTGGTTTTTTCAGTTCGACAACATAATAGGATGTAACTTTGCATTGGGCTCTACGTACCAAGGGAAAAATACATATAAAATATTTATATATATTTAAATTTAGTGGCGTAGCTACATATTTAGTGCTTGAAGCAAGTAAAATTGGTGTGCCCCCTCTTTTCTCGATGTTAGTTGAGAAAAGTTAAATGGAAAAACCTCATATGTTCCTAATGTTTAATGGGTATAGTTGGCAATCCTGATGCTAATAATTCAGTAGAAATAAAGTAAAGATATTAGTGATCAGATTTGTTTCAAAATATCATTTTACATTTCACGTCTTTTTTTGGAAAAAGCAATGCAATTAGTCAAACTTATTTTAAATTTATTGACTTTTCAAATTTCTTGCACATAGTTTAAAATTGTTTTATTTTTTTACCTTTTCTTTTATAAAATTATTAGTCACTTTATCCAAACCAACTTGACAACAAATTCCTTTCTCAATCGGTGTAGTGACAAAGAGCTAAGACATTGTTGTGACATGCTGCTTCTTAAATATTTTTAAATTAATTTCAGTTTTGAAAAACTTTGTTCTGCTGAAGATGTCTTATCGGTAAAGTTAAAAAAATGAGGCATGCTGCAATAATGTCGGCAAAACTACTTAAGGCTGTGGTTTGTTAAAAGTAGTTCAGCAATTTAGCTTATAGAAACAAATTCTTTCAATTGATCATAGAAAGAAACTTTAATTCGAAGCAGTCCAAAAATATCGGAAGGGTATTCTGATTGTTATACCTCCCGTTCCTCCAGAATATTTTTATCGAATGACGCCACAAGATATGTAGGCACTTAAAAAGTGTACATAGTTGTTAAATGAATTAAAATCAAATGATTAATTGATTAATCATTATGTTCTTTACTTTGCAATACACCTCAACTTTGAAACATTGTTTGTTTTTTTCATTGTAGTCATCTACTTGTACTTTATTCAATTAATTTACCCATTGGGGGACATAATGAAGAAGTTTTTAAACGTCTTTTAAACATTCAAAAAACCTTTTATACAAAGAGGTCAGACAATCTGAAAAACGAATACGAAGCAGGAAATAGTTTTAAATAGGGTTACAGTGTTTTTAGTATAACTATTCTAACAGTAACTTAAAATGGTGGCTTTGCGATTTGAAAATAGGAAGTTTTAAAATTTGATTTGAAAGCTTTTAAAAGTTGTAATTTAATAAATTACTTTCTTAAAAGTTAATTTGATTAATTTCTAACAACTGTTTCCACTTCCAAGTAGTAATCACAACAAAAATCATGATCAAGGTAAAAAATTCGTTTTTTGCATACCTCAATATTACCACGGTGTCTGCCAATATTTTAAGGTAAATTTACCTAGTTTTTCCCTAATATAAGTATTTTTGCGGATACTAAACAGAATATATGCTTGAGGCTATTTGTTGCAGCAATATCTTAAATATAAGAATATAATATATGTGTTTGTAAATCTGACAAATATACTAATAATTTATTAACCTAATCTAGACATTTATTAATTCTCATAAACAATATTTATGAAATCTAATCTAGACATTTCTTAATTCAATTCTAATTTAGACATTTAACAACAGTTGCTTCCAAAAACACAACACGAGAAAATAATTATAAACTAACTATAAATAATACTTACTAAATTTTTAGAGCATAATTTGTTATGTTTGAAATGCTTAGATTGCTTATAAAATTTTTGAATGAATAAGCAAAGTGGAAGGCCCACATGCATTAAATCCAAAATAAAATATCAAAAAATATTGCCTCCCTATACAGTTGTTTAACAAAACATGTTCAAAACCCATTTACTTTTTTTATATTCATTGATACTTAATTTATGTCGCTTAGTACAGCACTAATATATTAAAAAATAATATGCTGCTAATTAAACAAAAATATACTGTAAAAAGTATTTAACATTAAAAAATAAAAAATTATTTATACCCCAACATGATTTTTAAATAAAAGTTTTATTCATCCGAAAACAAATTATGCTGCTATTAAATTCTCATTTGCAATCAGAGAACTATTATTATTTCCATTGTTTGTTTTCTTTATTTACCACCATTTAATTAAGAAATACCTGTTTTCGAAGCACCTTCTGATAAATATGAAGACATAGTGAAAAACCCACCTGGTTAAATATACAGAAATATATTTTGAGTTGGTTTATAACACTATTCAAAAGTTAAAAATAATATTAAAATAAAATAATTTATTAAAAAATTACCATTATAATCATTATCATTTTCATCTACAACTATAATAATTATAATTATTTTTTTTTTTTTGAATAAATCTGTGGTGTGAAATTTTGGTGTTGAAATAATGAAATTATTTTTTTATAAAGAAAAATATGTTAACAAAAAATCCAATTCATTTTTGTTTGAAAAACAATAGGTAGAAACTTTTAGTTTTGACTTAATTTAAAGATGACATTTTTGTGTAATATGAGCATGCTCAAATTATCCAGTGTTTTTCATTGAAATTACCTAGTTTAAAGCCCTAAAATAGTAACGGTTTTAATTGCTTTTTAAATAAAAACAAAACAACAAAAAAATTTTATATTATAACAATACTAAATACTTTTCTGTATATTAAATTCTAAAAATTTGAAATTTTCATTTCAAGGTTTGAGTTAATAAAATTGAAAAAATTATTTACTAATTTTTTTTTTGCGGAAAACATAGCTGTACCATTTTAATAAAAAGTGGCTAAAAATTTGATCTTTAAATGATAAGATTTATTAATAACAAATCATTATATTCCGAAAATTAGTTCAAATTGTCAGGTTGGTATTTTTTTACTTAATTAAATGTTACTTTTTTTTTACACTAATTTAAAGTGCTCAAATTACTAAGTGGCAATATGAGCTCTCTTGTTACTTTTTTAAAGGTGCTAAAATAATAAGTGGATCATAAGAAGGGATCCCTAAAAATTGTTTATTTGCAAAAATATTGGATCCAGCTTAATTATTTCTGAAAATATTTCAATTTTCGCTTAAAGTGCTCATATTACCATAATCTACCCGATATCTGTAATCATTATTGTCATCATCATCATCATCATCATCATCATCATCATCATCATCATTAAAATAATAGCAAAAAAATAAACATATAATAAGAGTGACAAATCTGAAAAAATTATATAATACAAATAATAACTTAAAAAATGTGTACTTGCAAGATCCTCCACCTCCTTCAATAAATCCATTTTCGGAATACTTAAAATGGCAAGTTTTAACTTTTCAAATGTCGGTTTTTCATCAAAATTGAACCATTTTTTTAACATTTCGTATGCTTTGCATTCTTGTTTAAAAACATTTATAGAATCACTCTTAATTGATTCTAAACTACGCTGTTCGATATTTAAGTAAATACCAATCTTAAACCAATCCTGACCAAGTAGTTCAGACAACTTAATTTGAAATACTGGATTTTGTAGGACTTCATCCATTTATACTAAAAAACAAAGCAAAATATGAAATTTATATATATATATATATATATATCAGGCCTTGTTACGAGATTTCGCTGCGTAACAGAAAAGCGAAACGCAAATAAATGTAACTTTACTCAATAAAGATATTTACATTGTTAAAAGTTAAACTACGTCAGTTGCGTTTTTACTTCATTGTAATTAAATTTAAAACGACATAAAAAACTATTGTTAGTCTTTGAAACGAAATAGCTTTAAATTGAAAAATGTTGTTGAAAAAAAAAAAAATTTTAATGTTGATTAAAAAAAAGTCTTCTTGTATTTTAATCTTAAACTTATTTAAACTTAATTTTTTTGGTTTTAAACATTCGTTTTATGGTTGTTTTTTTTTTAATATTTTTTTTTTAAATAATTCAAATTTAACACTTGTTTATGGATGATTTTCTTAAAGGGATTTAAATGTACTTATAACTAAATGCATAGATTGGGTTTTGCCCTTTTAAAAAAACGTTTGCACTATAAAATAAATGTTGTAAAGAAACAAAATTTACTGCTTTTTCGGCTTTTTTTCATTTCCATTAAAAAATTTTATTTTTATGTACAGTGAAACCTAATATTTTTTTACTCAACCAAAAAAAAAATATAGTCTTTTCGGTTTTAAGATGTTATAAGCAGAATTTGTTTTTAAAAAATATCATTATAATTTTGAAATTTATGTATCTTATATTTATAGCTCTTGTACTAGTTTTGTTTTTAAAATAAAATAAAGATAAGTTGGGCTTTTAAAGAGTTTATTTACTGATCGCGTTATTTTTAATAGGTTTAAATTTTGGTTTGTTTTATAAAAAAAACTCTTCGGCAAACGGCAAAGGGAAAACCCAAACATAACATTTATAACTCGAGTTTATTAGAACTTTTTTGTTTTGACGTTATTAACTTGTAGTTATAAAATGAATAATGCACTTCTGTAAATAATTAATGAAACTGTAAAATAATGGAAAAATAAAAACTAGAAAATAATGCGCTTTTGTTCAGCGCATTATTCAGACCAGTATTTGGAACTGAAACTTACCTGAAACTAACTGAAATTAAAATAAAGTTATATGTAATACAAACAATTTAAATTTACTTGAATTAAATTTAATAAATCTTTTTTTACTTTGGAAATTTTATCAGAAAAAAAAAATTGTAAAACAGAGCATTTTAAAATTAAAAAATTTTAAAATGCTCCATTTTAAAATTAAATAAAAGAATTTTAATTAAATTTAATAAATTTATTTACTAAAAACTATGATTAATAAAAAAATATTCAAATTTAATAAAATAAATTGAAATTTTTTTTTTTTTTAATTTGAATGTTTTTAAACTTATGAAATATAAAACTTTATATTAAATATGATAAAAAGTTTAAACTTAAAACATTTATTTTTTTTTTAACTAATTTTAAACAACAAAACAATAAAAATAATTAAAAAAAATTTTCTTTAACAAAAAATCTATTAGTTTACAATTGCGGTTAAATGCTTTTACTTACGACTTTATTTTACTCTGAATAAACGTCACATAAACAATATCAAATGAAAATTTAAATATTCTAAAAGATAAAAATTTTTGGGTAACGCAAAACTGCTGAACACGTAGGCAAACTGCCTTTTCGCAGGTAAAATGCGAGCTGCATAATGCTTCTTAACAAGGCCTGATATATATATATATATATATATATATATATATATATATATATATATATATATATATATATATATATATATATATATATATATATATATATAT